AATGTATAAAATGGCTGTTAAAGGTGATGATTATGGTTTTAAAAATTCAATGAAGATATATTAACCTTAATTTTAAGAAAGGGTAAAAAAATAATAATTAATGTACCAGGTAAAGATCGACATTTCCCATTCTACATTTATTGTTATAAAAAACAAGGATATTCTTGGTAAAATTGCTGTCTATGCAAACCTTCCATTTCAAAACAGGAATCTTACCAGATGGCAATGGTAAGCTTTGTTCAGGAATTTGGTATACAGTAACAGCTAAGCTATAAACTAACACTATAAGCAATCTTCTACATTTTGCAGGCTGGCGACAGTCCTACAGCAGGAAGGACAAAGAAGTACGAGTATAGGGCCTCTGCACAATATTGAAGGCTCATTGCACATTATCACTAACACTGCTCAACCCTTACTGACCACAGATCAAGTTAAAGTCTTGTAGGTTGGGTCCACAGGATTACTAACTCAGCTGCTGTACTGTAGTCTTGTGCCTCATTCTTAACCATTGTCAGTGTTTTCCCTGGCATATGAGCCTGATTTTGGACTCCAACTCTGGTTTGCCAATGGGTTCAAAAGCAACACAACACTGGTTTTAGTACTTCCTTGTAAAAAAGATGGTGTGTATGGGTCAGAAATTAGTGTCATGCCAACTTCGAATCCTTCAACTTTAATGTGTACAACAATTCAGGTGTACTAAGAGGTATTGGGGCTCTATGTATCCCCCAAACACACCTGCATATTTAGACATGTTTAGGAATGTAAAGTTGACTTGACACTGAGTCGCTACAAACATCTTTACCTCACACAAATATAGGCTCCAAAAGCAGGATGATGCCAACTATGAAATTATTTTGGACCCTCTTAAGATTCCTTATTATTAATACTCTTTCACAATACATCATGCCTATTAATAATTAGCATAGCATGTAAACAAGTTTGTTCAGTATAAAAAAAGAGTTTTCTTAAGCTATTTACCTTCTAGTACAGTGGTCCCCAAACTGGGGAGGGGGGGGGAGAGACCACGTGAAAAATATATACCTTGTACAGTACAGTATTGACATTCCTATTTTCTTTATTAATTTTTTTTTAATAATATTGTGTAAAAACTTTTTTCTTAGTATATTTTTATCTCCCCCAAATGCACAAGGTACATGGATAAAATAATTACATGTTATTTGATCTTGCGAGAGGGGGATCATGTGAAAAAGTTTGGAAACCTCTGTCTAGTAATAAAAAAAAAAAACCCTAGAACATATAACTAAAAATTCTTGTTCATACAGAGATCAATACCACTTGTTGTTCTCCAAAGATATAAAATTAAATAAAACTTTAATCTATTGTTCTCAGAAGAAAAAATTTAATAAAACTCTAATATTACACTATGAATGATGGGACGGATGACGGATGTGTGAATTATATGGAAGTGAAGTAAAGTAGTATTAAGTGTGCATGTGTATGAGATGCAAGAGGACAGACATGCACGTGAGGTGAATTTGTAAACAGGTGGAGTCTATAGTATGTGTGTAAGAGTCAAGTACTGTACAAAAGTGGGGTTAGGGAGGATGTGTACAGGAGGGAAGCACTTTGATAATACAGAAGTGTAAGTATATGTGTGACAGAAGAAAATCCATGGATAAAAAGTGATACTGATATATACAGTAAATACCTCGATGTGTGTGTGTGTGTAAGGAAAATTAAGCATGGAGTAAATACAAGTGAGTTTAGTGTGTGAAGGCAGTGTATTGTTTGATTATTCAATATCAAATAGCCAGCTAAGAATGTTGTAAGTATACATAAGTACCCCAAAAAATATTGGTGCAGAATTGTAATGAACACGTGCTATCTTTTTTACTAACAACTCAAAAGACTGTTTTAATGAATGAAACTAATCATTACAAAGAAGACGAAGAGAAACTATATAAGTAAATTATGAATTTTCAGAAGCTAATGTACAGTAACATAAAATCAAATTATACAAAACTTCAAAAACCTTAAATACAGTAATTAAATATATGTAATTTATCATGTACTTCTTAAATTTAAAGGGCATTATGATCAAGTCTTAACAAACTTGAAGCACTGTAAATATGTCCTTACACAGTTTCAGCAAAGTAAATCTAATTCATTATCTAAAAACAACTAAGCTTTATAATTGTAATACATCTACCCAATATGAAACATATGATTATACAGTATCATTACTTCTTTTGTTACTTCATGTTCAAACTGTTACCAACCTACCAACCCTTAAAATCTATTCAACCACATTCAATTGGCAAGTTATTATACTTATTGTACATGCAAACCGACCTGTAATGCTTGTAATAAAGGTCTGAAAATGTGATTTTAGCCAGAAGTTGAGCAATGCCTACAAAATTATTCGGAGTTGCTCCCACTCAAGAAAACACTGTCTCCCCAAAATCTATATGATGGGTACGAATCTTTTATATAAGGTACTGTATACACAAGTACTCCTTTCCATGCCCAGCATATTAACATGTGGTTCACTCTTCACACCGGAGTAAGCAGAGTTTGGAATGTCACACCCTATGTGAAATATTTAGTACATACAGTGAGTTCTGCTATAACGCGTGTTTTGATAACGCGAATTTGCTCTAACGCGATTTATGAATTAGGAACGATATTTGTATAACGCGAACACTTGTTTGCTATAACGCGATTTTTGCTTACTATTTCTCCAATTTTGTGGTACAGTGGGGTATGCTATAACGAATCTAATTGGTTCTAGAACCTTGTTCGTTATAGCATTCGTTCGTTATAGGATTAATCCGTTCCAGGCCCCCAAATACAACAACTTAACACTGAAAAATATAATATAAAATTGTAAAAATTGTAAAAAGTGCATAAATATGCATCTAAACCCCTGAAATAAAGAATATCATTAATATTTGTAATAAAAAACAATAAATTAGAAGAAAAAAATTTAAATAATGTTCGTTGTAGGAGTTTCGTTCGTTATAGCATTCTCAATTTTATAGGTAAAACCGTTCGTTATAGGAATATTCGTAGTAGGATCCGTTCGTTATAGCATACCCCACTGTATTAACTGTGAATATAGTAAAGAAGAATATCAACAAGAAGCGTTCTGGTGACAGAATTCCCGGTGATGATCGTAAAAGAAAGGAAATAACACTTGAAGAGAAGATCAATTTTATCAACCTCAAAATCACCCTTCTCCCCCATCAAGTAAAGTGTTACATTTACTGTATGATTTCATTATTAGATATGAATGTAACATTTATTTAGACTGTGCTATCCTTTGTGTTAGGCTAACTACTAAATTTTTTCGATTTTGAGTAATCTGCACCTAACCCTATTTTCTCCATAAGCCCTGTTATTTCTATTACACGATTTTCTATAACACGATATTTTACAAGAACACAATTATCGCGTTATAGCAGAACTACCTGTAGTATATATTTAAAAAAATAAAATACAAAATTAAATCCAGTGTAAAGTTCCTGGATTTGCTTTTACACAAATATTTATAAAATTAGTTTACCATGAACAATAATGTTTTCTATATTACAATATGCCTATTTCAAAAGTGCAGTATTTGAACAAGTTACTCAAATTTAATTTAGTCACTATTAATTTCAGACTGTAGAAAATAATGAATGAATCAAAAGTCTGGCCACAAATTACCTTAATTCATAGGCAAAATAGATTCATAACCCCAAAAAATTTACATATAAAGAAAATTAATTGTACAGTACAGGCCCCCCCCCTAGTTTCACAGATTTATACTTCGCGGTTCTCGGTTATTTGTGGATGACACCCTGGATGTACCCAAGAATGTCTGTGGGTAGTTTTAAAGTTGCCGTAATTTTTGCGGCTGGGACAGGGAGCCATTCATTCTTGAGACAGTAATTTTCTTCACCTGTATTGTAAATATATGTGTGTGTGTGTGTGTGTGTAGACATACAAATAAATATTAATGGGAAAATACTCTCACAAATAATAAGAAACAAATTTATTAAAAATATGAGTCTACCCTCAAGTCCGTGCTCTATTACAGTACTTTCTTAATAGAGCACGGACTTGAGGGTAGACTGTCACGTTTTTAATAAATTTGTTTCTGAATTATTTTCAAGAGGATTTTTCAATTATTATTTATTTGTATGTGTGTGTGTGTGTGTCTACACACACACACACACACTTCATCCTTGACCACCGAAGGGTCAAGACGTACCTGGCGCTGCTCTGGCAGCAGCCAGGTCAACTGTTATGTTGGCCCATACCAACTCCCTCTCCTGAACCCCTCCTCCCCACCGGAATATCAACAAGTTCTCGCCATAAGTTACTATTTCATTTAGGAAAGGAATAGAACCAGTGTTGAATAGTGGTGAACAGTGCTACCCAAGCTAACCTTCACAAGTTTACACAGTGAGGTCCCAGGTACCCAGTGATAACTGCCCGTGAGACTCAACAACACCAGCTATGTGTTAATCCGTCCACGATAGGGAAGCCTGGGACCACACCTCACTCACTTGAGTGAGTGAGGTCCTGTGACACCAGACCACGTGATGTACCGATGATGCTACGACACCACGTAGTAAATGAGTTGCTACAGCATCAGGTGAGGTTCCTCGTAACACCATCTGTGAGGGAATTACTATACCATGTCAAGCCCCTCATAACACCATCTGTGAGGGAATTACTACACCTTGTGAGGCCCCTCATAACACCATCTCTGAGGGATTACTACACCACGTGAGGCCCCTCATAACACCATATGTGAGGGAACTACTACACCACGCAAGGGAGTTACTACACTACATGTCTGCTGTTCAACACCTCAGTGCAAATGATCTACGTGACCTCCACTGTAGACATTAATTGTACGTTCACTGTATGTTCCTTTAACTTTCTCAAATGAAAGCTTTTGTTAAATCACCAATGTATGTAATAAGTCATTTATGTCCAATGAATATTTTCAGCCTTCGTGCTGCAGAACTATTTCAATAAACCATTAATTATTATTTATTATTATTATTTATTATTATTATTATTATTATCATTATTACACACACACACACACATACAAAACTACAGGTGAAAGAAATAATTGTCCTAAGGGAACACACAAAAAGGGAATACACATTTCTTTGTAAGCCCCTCCCACCTCGGTCCGCAAATGTTATTCACAGATTTGGCAATTCACGGCCATTTTGAGAACCTAACCCCCACGAATTTAGGGGGCGGGCTGTACTTGCAGATTAATGACCATGATGATACATCTGGTGTATCAAGCTGAAAGAGCTTCACACAAATGAAAATTTTCAACGTCACTAATTGGGATCTATATTATACGGTAATCAATTCATATTGTTCCTGCAGTTCTCAGCACTGTGCAGAAGTAATGTATACTGTACATGTACAACCACCAAATTCTTGCAGAGGTTGATTTATCTGCTCTCTCATTACACTGACACTTCAATTTCATTTCAGTCAGTTACCAAAATACTGTCATCCACTTCACTAAAATGGCTGTTCAAGTGAGATGCCCATTCATGTAATGACTGCTCCTGAAAAAGGATGTTAAAACTATGTAAGTTAAAACAAGTAATGTCTGAAGAAAGAGTAGCACACTTACTGTGCATAATAATAAAGTATTTTAAATACAATATACAATAAATTGGAGGATTAAAAAAATATGACAATGCTAGCTAACATTTGTTAACATCATTAACAACTTAAGATGCCAAAGGTGTAACCTAAGCTCTACACTTTGTACAAGCAAAAAACGTTTGTGTGTGTGTGTTGCAAAATGGTGACCAGTTCAGATAGATAATCTTAAAAACTCAGACAATATTTGCTTTACTTCCAATCCAACTTGTCACTGTCAATTTCTTAATTATTGTGCAAAAATGCTTTATTTAAACAAAAACTGTACAGGTACAGTAGGGTCAGGGTATATTGTGATTTTTATAATGATTTTTTTATATCGCGACTACCAAAATTATCGATATTTTCCAATACAGTACAGTATATAGTGATAAATTTATTCATTTCGCGAGGGAAATTGGGCAGGAAATATTTCAAATGTACCGCCATGACAAACAAATGTGCTATTTGCTCACCAGCGGCGCCACCGTAGCTGCTCACTCACACATTCACGCTCGCCCTGGTCGCCCGCTCAGTCTTTCTGAGTGAGTGACGAGTAAGCAGCTGACTCTGCTGCAGATTACGACTTCTAAGGTGAGTGTAAATGGGTTGCTAGTGACTTGAAAAGTGAAGTGAAGAGAATGGAAAAGATTTAATATTTTAACTAATATTTTTGGTTTGTTCATTTATGTAGGTGTCGGATTGTCAAGTGATGGTGGCAGTGTGGCGTCTGCTGCCAAGTCTTCTGGTGTTCCTGAGATGGTGCGTCAGCTGCCGAGACTGGTGTTCCTGAATCTGGTGTTCATTGATATTGAAACAGTCTGTTGTTCCCGAGTCTATTTCCCCATGTAATTATATATACAGGTATAGCAAACATTCTTGGACCCTATCTCGTGATATATCCCGACCTTACTGTACTGTACACCACAATTCATACCTAATAAATAAAACTGAAAGAGGACCTGTATCCTAGTGATCCAAATATGGAAAGATATTGTTTTTGAGGTTTGTTTCACTGAAGGGTAAGAAATAAAGTCTCTGATTCTTGGGACAAGTAACAGAAATTAATATTTTGAAACCTAAATAAGCAGAACATTTGCATGCAGATTTAGTGATCCCTATGAATAAACAATTGTGGCTTACAATTGGAAAAAAAAAGTATTTTTCAGGAAGGACTCTTGAAGAAACGGGAACTGAACAATCGTGTTGTCTTGCTAGGGTTGGTAGGCATGATTGTGAGACATTTCCTACCTCTTATGGCTGGCCTAATTTAGTTATTTCATTCAAAATATAAAATTACTTTGTTGCAATATGATTGGTGAATAACAGTATGCCCCATGGGCCTTTATCAAAAACCTTCATTTGTGGTGTCATTTTTGTTTCGCACAAGAATTATAAAGACAGGATTTTTACAGTGTAAATAGCCATATCTGCATAAAGATTATAAATCTGATTCAGATGAGGGGTGAACAATCATTATTATAGTGGGAGTTAAAGCACATGAATGAAATGAACGGCATATAAAATCAAGAACAAGGAATAAAGATACATTCGTGTAAGAGAACATGACTGCAATTATCATAATGCAGTACTGTATGGAGGAATATACGGAACTTGGAAAGTGTTCAGTTAGCTAGGTGTACAGTAGGGTGGTCCAAAAATTAGAAGTTGGAATTTTAATTTAGACACATGTCACCCTAATACCTTTACCCCAAACATGTCTTCAGGCAAAATTTCAGTTCCTTATCTCAATATTCAGGGGTCTCGCATTTTGTGAGCAGTGAGGGTGAACTGCTCTCTGAAGAGGAATATCTTAAGAGCATAAATGGCCTTTGCCATCCATCTGGCTTGGTGGAAGGCCCCAGGTGCCCTGATCTTCACACCTCCCTCTGGAATTTCCCACAAGAAGGTGTATGACAGGACAAGGAGTTCCTTGTAATCGTCCCTGAGGTGAGCTAGAATTTTTGAGACTAAAATAACTAAACATTTTGCGGGACCCCTAAACATCATCCAATTTTCTTCAAATTTTATAAAAAGCTACACGAGTGTACATGAAGTGCAATGAGGGCACCATGTGCTTGCTTGGTTCAGACAAATTTCAAATTTTCACCCTATAATTTGGACTACCCTATGTACAATATATGTATAAAGCCTACATATGTTGTATCAATTACGTGAGACCATATGCATGTATGTATGTGCTGTTACCATTACTTTGTATTGTCCAGCACCTGGCAAACTACCGCGCCATCCAAATTACCGTCAGGGTAGTAAACCATATCAACGTGGGTAGGTCCTGTGGCTCACCTGGCAGTCTTACCAGTCTGTCCATGCAGAGCACAAGTCTGTCCCATGCTCTTGCCTCTGTACTGATACTCCTTCAGAATACTCCAGTCAACTAATTGTCTTATTACTAGTCAACTCTGATCAGAACTATGAAAAACAGGGTTGAACAGAAGAGATATGATGGGTTATTTGAAAAATATAAAAGGTGGAGACAAATGAAAAACTATGCACTTGAAGGAAGTACAGTGAAGCAAGTAACTAGTCATTGGGCAATGCTAGGTTTTAGTAGGTTAACTTATGAAATATTATGAGATTGATGAAATCGGTTATCTGTACCACTGTATTTGGTATAAGTACAGTAACACTATCTGTATACATGTAATAGGTAACAGTACACTTGAACCTCTTTAATTTGCCTTATGCTAATATGGACTTTCTGATTACAGTATTAAAAATGGTTTTGGTCATGGGTTTTTTTTTTAGATCCATGTTTGAATTAACCCATGTGTCCGACAAGTTGCACCTTAAAAGTTCCATGAATAAATACACAGCCCAAGAGGAATGCTTTGTCCAAGTACCCTTGTGCAGGTGGGACTCAATCAAGGTGAACAAATCTTCAATTTGCAGGTATCCCTTGTTTAGCGTTAATTCACTGAACCTAATAAATAATCAGCCGAATTAAAAACATGTAAATAACTGCTTAAAACAAAACTGTACAGTACTCACAATAGCAGAATTTCCATTATTCTTTAAGGTATTTGTTCTTGCTGATATATTTGAAAGAATACCAGTTGAGTTCTGAGATAAATTGGTTTTTGTCTTCACTTTCTTGGAGGCACTCTTAGACTTCAATGGCTTCTTCCTCTTCTGTTTCTTCTTTATTACAGCTTCATCCTTTATGTCAGAAGCAAAGTATGAAATTACATGATATACAAGGTCACATACAAGGGTAAAACTCTTGGCCTTGACTTTTAATCCTGTGGCCCCCAAATAAGCTTTTGCACAATTTTGACAGAATATGATGATTCTTACTAAGTTACAAGGAGAGTCGGATGTAATTGTACAACTAGATGTGTATTTTCATGCTGCCCTCCTATTGCCTCTTCTAACTAGCTCCTTATATTTCCTACTTCAATGTCCAGTACCAAATTGCATGTTCTGTAGTTCTTGTTTATCACTATCAATTCTGGGGTTCATAGGGTTCCACATTTGCACCACCTCTTTTCCTATTTCAAATGAATGATCTTTCTGTGACAAGCAATTTCATTTATTGTTACTGAGATGATTCAACTCTTCATTAATCAATCACTCTGACAGCCCCAGTTTCGCCAGTCAACAACAAACATCCTCATCTATACACATAACTGATAGGGGTGCATCAAATTTGGGGTATTTCAATGCATGAACTAAATATAATAACATACTGTCAGAACATCATTACATAACAACACAGATTTTAAACAACAGTTTTTCAAGCCTTACCTTGACAAATTTCATCAGAACTTCAGCCAAAACTGTTGCATGATGCATTTAGAATATAAGTCATGTGTGTACTGGGTGTTATGCTATGGCACTTTGACCTCTTGATTTGGTGAAGTAAAAGGCCATCATAATAACCAATAATAATATCTGTCAGCCGGAATCCCTCAAACCTGGAACTCTCCAATTTTCCGAGGGGCACATTTACTGGAAAATTTCGATAAAATTTTCCCAATACCCGAAAAATTCCGGGGATGAGGGATATTTTTCCCGGTTCTAGAGATGATGTAATGGGCAACTTCAGGAACTTCTGAGAAAATTTTTTCATAACCAGAAAAATTCCAGACTAAGAGATTAATGCAGGGAGTTTTAATCAACATCTTCCGTTGACTGCGGTTTGTCGTGTTAACAACCATACAGGGTAGTTTTAAATGCAAAAGACCACACACTGCAGTGCACAATGGAGAGGGCCAGCAGAAAAACAAACTTCTATATTTTACGGCATATAAGATGCACTTTTTTGTCTGAAAAATGGCTAAAAAAAATCATCCTGCATCCTATATGTGAAGTTGCATGAATCCCCCAGTTGCTGTCTTCAGTAGGCTAAATTCTACCTAACCCAACTCCAGAATTATAAATATGTTATTACAGTACAGGTTGACAATCCCTTATCCGAAATCCTTGGGGCCAGATGCATTTCGGATTTCGTAATTTTTCGGATCTCAAAATGGTTAGGTTAGGTTACTTTTTTTTTTTACAGGGATCAGACCACCCGGACACAGGTCACTGACCCACATTGGGGCCTGGGGGGGGCTAAAATATAATAATAATAATAATAATAATAATAATAGTAATAATAATAGTAATAATAATTCATAGGTCTAGGTCGTGTTTCTCACTTTTGATCTTTTTTCATTCTTGTATTTCTTTATTATTATTATTATTGTTATTATTATTAATTATTATTATTTTATTATTATTATTATTGTTATCATTATTATTTCATTTTTGTATATTTTTTATTAATTTTTTTTATTTACTGTGAATAATTATTATAATTATTATTACTATTACATTTTCACCTCCCAGGTCCCGATGTGGGTCAGTGACCTGTGCCTGGGTGGGCTAAAACCTGTATATATAAAAAAAAAAAAAAAAAAATGCTCCACAAAAGACTCGGTTTTCAGAAGAATTTCGGATAAAGGGTTGTCAACCTGTACTTACTTAAACACATTATTACTAGTTTTAATTAATTACAAAATAATTATTGTACATTAGGGGGCAGTGAAATTTTGCTCAAAGCTGCACTCTTCAGGCATTGTTCCTTATACATATCTAAGACTTCATGCCAAATTTGAAGCTGATATGTCGAGGTTTAGTCTGCCGCATTTTCTACTGAAATTTTTAAATTTACCTACAGTACTAGCCAAACAGCCGCTTTGGCGGTGCAATGTTCTGTTCAGTGTTTATCAACTTTTTTTTCATATCTCTTATTTCATTTAAGTTGTCTTGTTGCAGATGAGTATGGTGCTATGTCTATATTGATTTAAGAGGCAAGAAATTGAGATGGCTAGTTTAGATAATTTGACGTCACTCTATTTTGATGGTAAGAAGACCGCCACTCGTGTGATGATAAAGAATGAGAAGACCGAGAAATGGAGTTCGAGGATGATGGTGAAAGATCATTATGTCATCATGGTTGAGCCTGGCAATGAATATCTCACACATGTGACTCCCAAGACTGGACACGGAAAGCAGATTGCCAAAACTATTCACGAGTTTCTGGTGGAGAAAAATCTAACCCAGCAGCCCATTGTGTGTGTTGGTTGTGATGGAACCAATGTAAATGTAGGATCAGAAAATGGAATCATTCATCATCTTGAAATGTTACTTGGTCACCCGCTCCATTATTTCATATGTCAGCTTCACGGAAATGAGCTGCCTTTCCGCGCAGTTTTTTATCACTATGATGGTAAACCAAGTGGTCCTGAGCATTGGCGTGGTCCCATTGGAAAGCAGATCAAGGAGTCTTTGTCTGAGCTTCCAGTTGTCGCCTTCCAGCCAGTCAGTTTCCCTGATTTCCCTGTGTTTAATGATGAAGTGGAGAAAGATCTGTCCTGGGATCAGAAATACCTGTATAGGATTTGTAAAGGAGTTATCACAGGTGTTGTTGAAGATGACTTGGCTGCTATTGAGCCAGGTCCTCCCTGTGTGTCAAGGTGGAACACCTTATGGAGTAGAATCCTCAGGCTGTATGTAGCAACATCAAGACCCAGCCATGAGTTGAAAAGAATTGTCATTACAATAATAAAGTTCAGTGCCCCAATGTGGTTTTACATAAGATACACCCTTACGTAACACACGGCTCAAGGAATGTATTCCAGTCCCTGCTATATATGAAACACCTGAATAGTGAGGAGGAGACGATAGTGAAGAAGGCTGTCCAGAGAAATGCATACTTCGCCCACACAGATCAACTTCTTCTTGGTATGTGTGCAGATGAGGACATGACTGTTAGAGAAAAAGCTGTCTCAATGATAAGAAAAATTTGAGAGGAGAATCAGCAAAAGGAAGAATGCACTGGCAGATCTGAAGAGGAGGAGGAAGATTCTGATGCTGCTGTTGACGAGAATTTGTTAAACTATACTGATGAGGAGGGTAAAGATGGAGATGGGAATGAGGATGTGCCTCCTGTAGTCAACATGAGAAAGGTGGTGACTCCGAAACTAAAGTGGCAAGCAAAAACTATCATTCCATGATTAACTGGAGGAATGAACTCAAGACTGAGCCTCCTTACATTGCTTCTCTGTCAAATCTACAGGTTAATGACATTCTTGAGACACCATTAGTGGTGCCCAAGTGGCCAAACAGCACTCAGGCGGTCGAGAGAGGCATAAAAGTGATGACTGAAGCTTGCACTGAAGTGACGGGATACGAATCGAGAGATGGATATATTAGGCAAAGATTATTGTCTAGGAAAATGATGCCAAGGTTCCGCACAAAAAAGAATTTCAATATGAACTTGTAATGATTTTCTATACGGTGTACCTGTAAAATAACATGTGAATTAAATCGATGTCACCCATGTAAAATTTATCATTATCCTGGAAAACATTAAACAACACATAATTTTTGGTATACACTAAAAGTTGACAAAAAGTCGTTCGCGATGCGGCAGGGTAAGTATGCATGAAATGGCATGAAATTTTGCACAGGTGTTTGTTACAGCCATACAAACGATGCCTGAAAAGTGCAGCCTGCAACTCAAATAAAAGTGTTTTTTCCCTGCCCCCTATTGTACATATAAAAAGCTCAATTTATAACTACTGTACTGATGATGATAATCCAAGATGATTCATGTCCATATGGTAGACATCCAATTCTACAGAGATAGCTAAACAGTAATTTTTTTTTACGGGGATTAACCCACCTGGGCACAGGTCACTGACCCACATCGGGGCCTGGGGGACGAAAATGTAATAATAATAATAATAATTCATAGTAAATAAAATTTATAATAAAAAATAAAAATTGGAAACAAAATAATAAAATAATAATGATAAGAACAACACTGTAATAATAATAAAGAAATACAAAAATGAAAAAAAAAGATCAAAAGAGAGAAACAATATATGTATGTTGTGTTGTCAATAGCAAGACAAACAATTGAGACCCTGCAATTGTATGTAAATGCAGCAGACAGATCAGCAACCTGAGACTTGGTCACAATTTTCGTGATGCCATACAGCAGCAGGGTCTACCATTAGACAATACATTATGTTTCCAATATCTTCCCAGGCAGCAGTACCTCCAAGTTTGGCGGGTCTAGGACAACTCGCCGCGGCCGACTGGCCGCCATATGGAACTTTTTGTTGACAACCTAACCTAACCTTTGAGAGCGCAAAAATAGGCGTTTGCAGTTTACCCCCAGTCCGCGGCGGCCAGTCGGCCGCGGCGAGTTTCCCGCGGCCAGTTGGGCTGCGGCCAGATGGCGGCGGCCAGTTGTCCCATTCCCAAGTTTGGCAGCTGCCTACTACCCAAAAACTCTGAACTCTCACAAGCATTACAACCTATTAATGGCATACCTGCAACATTTATTTTTAATTCTACAATACAGTACCCGATACAAATGAAAATTACAGATAACTCTCTTTTCACATTTGCATCTGTTAACATCACTGGTGGCATTGTAGCTAATAGCTGATCTTCGTTACCCCTCTTGGTAATTGTTCTGTTTGTTTGATCGGATATGGTATTTATAGTAAATACGATTTATGAGTAAAGAAAAACATAATGGAAATTTTATAATCCTGTTTTTTTCATAAATGTTTTCATGGCCCATACAGTATTACGAAATCTTCAAGAGCCTTGTGTTTTGTTTTACTGCCAAGTCCAAGCACATCTTAGAGAATTTACTCAGCATTTTAAAAGTTTTGTGATTTTTCGCCTGGAAAATATAAAAAGGCCAGTGTTTGCCACCTCCGGCATCCCAACAACGCGAGTAAGACAACCCATAATGCATCAATATATATACAGGTACATGGTTTTCCGGCTCTGGAGTGACTAGCAACCAAACATCACAGCCAAAAGCACACCCAAACAATTGCTATGATAAAACCTAAACTTCATATGATGTCCACCATCCTTTATGCATTTTCCTCTCAAACATCATATGGTGTCCTGGGTAAACTAATTTAAATATAGCGCACACCACAAAACCAGGGGTAATTATATAATTTATACAAAAAAAAATCTGCAAAATTAAAAACACATGTATCAACTTGTTAAGTGTACAAGATGTGACAGTCATGTACAGTGATCCTCAGTGGTTTGTATACAGTGAATTCTCCTGTAGAACATTATTTTGAAATCTCTATACCTCTCCTTTGTCTGCACACGTATTTGCAGTTATTTTTTAAACAATGAAAAGAAATTACAATAAAAGCTTAATTAAATACAAACTCACCTCTTCGGTTTCAGTTTCCGTGGCAGTGCCTCCACCAAAGTCCCTTAAGAACTTCCGACGTGCTTCTTCTAAGGCATTCTTGTCATAAGATTTTCTTGGGGGCTGAAAGAGTCATACAAAAAAAGTTCAGATTCAACAAACTGATGATCCTTTAATCCAATCTTGAAACAGCTAGCTAATAAATTATTTTCATGAGTTATACAGTACAATACTGTACAGGTGGAGCTCAACATTTGCAAGGGTTACATTCCTGGAAAAATTAGATCTGGGACCAGACTAATGGCAAAGCAGGCTTGTTAGGAGAATCCGCTTTCAAGGAACTTAATATTTAATGAGAATAATAAGAATTGGAGAATGCCACCGCAAAAATTCTTATCAGCTGACTGCCAGATTTGTGGCTGCCACTGCGCCATTGCTGTCCGTGTGTATGCCGTGACATCACATCGACAGGGAGTGCAGCCACAGTTACATACAGTATAGCCATAACCCACCACCTCAACACATTCACTGTACACACCAAGGCTCTTTATTTTTCTTATTTTAGTTTTATATTATATTTTCTCTATGTCAAACCCACATTAAAGTACTGTATTGTAATGCTTTTCCAAAATGTTATTTCATTACAAGTTAACAACAGGTGAAGCAGACGGACTACCGCTGCTGCACCCATGGCCACTTTGTAACATAAAATTTTTTAATTTTATTTTCTGTCATCACTTTACCACTTTTCTTTACTCCACCATCATTTGGAGATAACGTATGTTTAGGAGCCATACTATTTAAGGGTTTGTCTCCCCCCCCCCACCCTCAAAAAAAAAGGAGCAAAAAGTGTATCAATATGGACAGCACAGCTCATTGCCCAACTACAGCTTACAAGAGACAGTGCGGAAGATGCAAGAGGGAGCCATGCTACGTTAACGTGTTAACGAACTGTGTAAATTTGAATTTTCTGTGCTCGGCACATACATTAGTCACATTTAGTTTTGCGTGTATAACTGAATTTGTTTTGGAGGAGGACTTACTGTACATAATTTCTAAAATAAGGAAAAAGATACTGCTTAGTGTAATACAGTACAGTACACTACTGTACAGGGGTATATGATACAGGGAATAAGTGGAACAAGGGATTCCCTGTATACCCTGAGGTATGTAACTGAAGATTTCACAAAACCCAGAGTTGTAAAGTACCAAAATAATTTTACTTGAGTACTGTACTCGAGTAAAATTTTTGGTTACTGTATTTACCTTTTTAAAAATTACAGTAAAAATTTGTTTTAATACTTTCACTTAAGTATGGTTTTCTAATACCTTTACTCCAATACAATTGAAAAAACATGCAAATTAACAAAATATATTTTTAAAGAATTAATTATTAATCACAGCAAAAGAATTGTGTGGGTGGAGCCGCGATGGGTATGGTGTGGGGAGACACCACGCACTCACATACACTAACAATAGGCAGAGCCATCCCTAGGGTATAGCAACTGGTGAGACCGCCCCGGGCCCCGCGGCCCTTATCCCACCCAACACCAGAATTAGTGACCTCGTTAAGCTGAACTCATCTTACCACCCAGATTCAGCAGTCCACCTGAAGGATCAGTGACCAGCACAGTTTGGCAATGCATCTGCTGACAATGTCATTCTTTACTGTGCTCTCTCTGTCGAAGAAGAGTGAGGATGTTGACAGAGGTCAACTGTCAGTGTTGTCGAAACTCTGTATCTCCAGTCGTCAGTAATTTGTGTTTTATATAAGCTGTATTCTTGTGTTATTCTTACCTGACTGAAATATTACCTGCAACAGCCTTCTAATTGTCATAACACTGCAGGAACACTTTGAGGGTGATCAATTTGAGAACAAGCGAGTAGATGGCAAACGGAAGCTCAAATGGACTGCAGTACCGACTCTTTTCTCTCACCAGTGTTCCCAAGTGTTAGAAATCTCCATTTATGCAAAGCCTCCCTGGCTCTTCTACAGAAGAACATATGAAAAGCTATGTTCAATCTTATCACACATACTGTGACATGCAACCAAGTGATAAGACATTGAATGTCTGTAAGTTTCCATGACAAAATTATAGAGTACAAGTACTGTACTGTATTGCCAAACCAAATATCCACAAATTTTATATATTTGCAATTAATACTATCTATCTATCTATCTATAGATAGATAGATAGATAGACAGTCAAATAGATAGATAGATAGATGGATAAACAGTCAGATAGATTGATAGACAGATAGTAATTACAAATATATAAAATTTGTGGATATGTGGTTTATCAATACTCTATAATTTTGTAATGGAAACTTACAGACATTCGATGTCATATATATATATATATATATATATATATATATATATATATATATATATATATATATATATATATATATATATATATATATATATATATATATATATATATATATATATATATATATATATATATATATATATATATATATATATATATATATATATATATATATATATATACAGTATATATATATATATATACACAGTACAGGAGAGAAAGAGAAAGAGTGGATTCAAGATGGCGTCAAATCTTGAGTTGTCGTTACTCTCAATAAACATAAAGAACTGCCAAAGAAAACTTATCAAACCAAAATATTTTTATCGTATACCCCACATTTCTAAGTAAAAATTTCTAACATAAAACAACTGGGATACATAAGAGAGAAAAATTACTGTGATAAATCACATCTGAGAGCACAAATAACTCCCTCAGCAGATATTAAAGTAGTACAGAACGTATACATTATTAGGTCACAGCAAAAAGTTGAAACCACAGACATCAAGGTTGCAGATGTTGAGATCCACCTGTATAAATCTGATGATCTAATAGTTTAAATAGAAAGAAGCATACCATTAACAATATATCTCAGTAACAGTGAAGAAGTGACTGCTTTTGAACTTACCTTAGAAAAAGACTTTTCTGGTGACTGATACTCATTTTCTTTGGACAGATACGGAGACAATTTTGGGGAGCTGTCCTTCAAAGTTGGCTTAATCTGCTTTTCTTTACCTTTTAGATGATCCTCCATCACCTCATCTTCATCAAACAATACTGATATGTCACCACCTTCACCAGTACAATCCTCATTTTCAGCTGCAAGAAGACTCGATTTATTCGTCTTTCGCTGGCTTTTTCTTGGACTTACTTGACTGCAATGAAGATTTTCTTTATCTTCTTTTTGCAAAACAAAATTTTTACCATACTTAGTTTTTTTTAGTGTAGGTTTTTTGGCATACACTGCACCTGAAAACCTTGACACAGACGACACATTATGGCCATCAGCAAATACACTTGATGAACAAATATTAGATACATAGCTTGTATATCCTGGTCGAAGTGGGCCCCATGAGAAACGTGATGGTCGACTTGATGGGCGACATTCCATATGAACTTCTGATGTGCCAGTTACTTCCAGGCACGATGACAATCCCGACCGTCTCACAGGTGACAAATTTAGGCTACTCTTTTCAAAATCATGCTCACTGTCTTCAAAGCCAAAACAAATAGCAATATCCTCTTTCAACGTCATTGGAACCTGCTCCTCAAGAGGCTCAACACTAGATTTTAACATATTTTTGGCTCTAGGAGTAGATGAACCTCCAATTAGCTTAGAAATGTGTTTGGATATAGCTGGAGTAGGTAATACACTGGCTGATGTCATTGGGACCAATCTCAATGGTTCTTGCTGTGGAGCAACAAATGAACTTGCAGTTTCAAACTCATATTCTTCAGTAACTTCACTTTCAGGAGTATCAGTAAACTCTTCACTATCATGAGTACCAGTAAACTCTTCACTATCATGAATATCAAAGTCATTATCAAAATTATCTTCTGCTGCAACACTGGTTCCTGTGGATTCACCATCTGTTCTGTCATTACAAAAAACAGTGTTGTCACTCGACCCATTATGGTTTCCTGTGGATTCACTGTCTCTCCTGGAGGTGGGGGCATTCACAGGCTTTATCAAGAAAGTGGACATAACTCTCTTCCAATTTGGGTCAGTTGTTAATAGTGCCAACTTTGTCCTCGGTCTAAATTTTGTGCGCCTCACTTTGGTTCTCGTTCTAGTTACCCGCTTTTTCTTGGCTACTTCTTCAGATGGGATAAAATTAAATTCAAAGACATCTTTGCTTGCAACCCTCAAAGACTTTCTTTTTCCAGGGGTTCTCTTAGGCTTTTTCTCCACAGCCCATATCGGTAATTTTTCTTTGTTGTGCACACCATCAAGAGGTTCTCTTCCCTTCACAGTTATCTGCTCTTTCTGGACACCATTTGATGGTGCATTTTCATTGGCAGATTTTCTATTGTTCTGCTCCTTTAGTGGCTCCTTTTTATTTCTTGTGTTTCTCTTGTTTAACACATCACTTGGTGGCTCCTTTTTATTTCTTGTGTTTCTTTTGTTTAACACATCACTTGGTGGCTCCTCTCCATTTCTTGTATTTCTGTTGTTTAACACATCACTTGGTGGCTCCTTTTTATTTCTTGTGTTTCTCTTGTTTAACACATCACTTGGTGGCTCCTCTCCATTTCTTGTATTTCTGTTGTTTAACACATCACTTGGTGGCTCCTTTTTATTTCTTGTGTTTCTCTTGTTTAACACATCACTTGGTGGCTCCTCTCCATTTATTTCTGGTGTTCCTCTCTTGTTTAACACATCACTTGGTGGCTCCTCTCCATTTCTTGTATTTCTGTTGTTTAACACATCACTTGGTGGCTCCTTTTTATTTCTTGTGTTTCTTGTTTAACACATCACATTTCTTGTATTTCTGTTGTGGGTGGCTCCTTTTATTTCTTGTGTTCTCTTGTTTAACATTTCTCCTCTCCATTTCTTGTATTTCTGTTGTTTTAACACATTTCACTTGATGCTCCTTTTTATTTCTTGTGTATCACCTCTCCATTTCTTGTATTTCTGTTGTTTAACACATCACTTGGTGGCTCCTCTCCATTTCTTGTATTTCTGTTGTTTAACACATCACTTGATGGCTCCTTTTTATTTCTTGTATTTCTGTTGTTTAACACATCACTTGGTGGCTCCTCTCCATTTCTTGTATTTCTGTTGTTTAACACATCACTTGGTGGCTCCTTTTTATTTCTTGTATTTCTGTTGTTTAACACATCACTTGGTGGCTCCTTTTTATTTCTTGTGTTTCTCTTGTTTAACGCATCACTTGGTGGCTCCTCTCCATTTTTTGTATTTCTGTTGTTTAACACATTACTTGATGGCTCCTTTTTATTTCTTGTGTTTCTCTTGTTTAACACATCACTTGGTGGCTCCTTTTTATTTCTTGTATTTCTGTTGTTTAACACATCACTTGGTGGCTCCTTTTTATTTCTTGTGTTTCTATTGTTTAACACATCACTTATTCCTTTTTATTTCTTGTATTTCTGTTGTTTAACACATCACTTGGAGGTTCCTTTTTATTTCTTGTATTTCTGTTGTTTAACACATCACTTGGAGGTTCCTTTTTATTTCTTGTATTTCTGTTGTTTAACACATCACTTGGAGGTTCCTTTTTATTTCTTGTATTTCTGTTGTTTAACACATCACTTGGAGGTTCCTTTTTATTTCTTGTATTTCTGTTGTTTAACACATCACTTGGAGGTTCCTTTTTATTTCTTGTATTTCTGTTGTTTAACACATCACTTGGAGGTTCCTTTTTATTTCTTGTATTTCTGTTGTTTAACACATCACTTGGAGGTTCCTTTTTATTTCTTGTATTTCTGTTGTTTAACACATCACTTGGAGGTTCCTTTTTATTTCTTGTATTTCTGTTGTTTAACACATCACTTGGAGGTTCCTTTTTATTTCTTGTATTTCTGTTGTTTAACACATCACTTGGAGGTTCCTTTTTATTTCTTGTATTTCTGTTGTTTAACACATCACTTGGTGGCTCCTCTCCATTCTTTGTGTTTCTGTTGTTTAACACATCACTTGGTGGCTCCTTTCTACCACCACAATTTGCTGCTGAAGTTGTTGACACTTGTGCTGGAACTGTGGATTTTAAGATAAAGCATTACAGAACTATTCTGAACAGAGAAAATTTCAACGAATATTACACTAGAATAACAATAACTAGACTGTAACTCTCCTATGAATACTATAAATACGACAGAAAAATACTTTAAGAATGATCTGGTCTTTGCTTTAAAACATAACCATCTCAGTTCCAAGCAAATCTTAATTAATATTTATTTTCATATATTAAGAAAATATGAATGTTATTTACTTTTTTAATGGAAGTACAGACACTCCAAGGTTTATGGAAAGGTTCTGTTCCTGGACCTCATCTGTAAGCTGAACTTTCTGTAAACCAAAAATAACCCTTCCATAAGGTAAACAGGTACTGTTATGAATCACAGATGGCGTCTCACAAGGGGATGCGCAAATAGTTGTTACGCCGTACTGTACTAGTTACCTTCCGTAATTACAGAAACTCTTGCACAACCCGAAATTTTTTATAATAGGACTTATGGGAGGCATTCTGTATCCTCGAATTTCTGTAATCCGAGCATTTCGTAACCCAGGGAGTGTCTGTATAATATCCTACTTTCTAACTGCCAACAGTCCCCGGACCACACGAGTAGATTGGGGACCACTGCGTGTAGAAGATAGGTAACTATTATTTTAGGTTAGATCTGGTTGTATGTTGTAACAGTAGCTGTTAAATTAAATTTTGTAGGTAAGGTCAATTCTGAAAGACGAACTTGATAATACACAGAACCTGTTAGAACCTGACCTTATAGGATGACATTGTGAAATCATCAGGAATTTCTTCAGACATATCAACGTCAAGAATGAAATATAGAAGTAATAAGGATATAAAAGAACGAAGAGTTAGAATAATAGCCAACGTATATACAGTACAATTATTTATGTTATTGTATGTTATTGATACTCTGGACAGATTTGTTTAAAAAGTCACGACCACACGGAAACAAAACCAGTATGAGTAACGTAACTTGATTATGTGTCAACCAATATTCACACTATTACCCAAATGTAGCCGCAATGAAGTCAAATAATGGTCCTACATGAATAAATCGGACTGCCAATCACTTCTCGACTAATATTTGGTGTCACGAAGTCACAAAAAATTGGTAAACTTAATTTAATCTGAGTTAATAGATCGAATGCATGTACCTAACCTAACATAACCTAACACAACTCAGATTAAATTAAGTTTAAAATTTTTTTGTGACTTTATGACACCAAATAATAATCGAGAAGTGATTCACAGCCAGATTTACGCTTGTAGGAACATCATTTGACTTCATTGCGACTACATTTGGGTTCATTTGGGTAATTACTCGCTCCCTCGGTGCAAGCATGCAATCTATTAACTCAGTTTAAATTAAGTTTTCCTATTTTTTGTGACTTTGTGACACCAAATACAAGTCGAGAAATGGTTGGCAGTCCGATTTATTCATGTAGGACCATTATTTGACTTCATTGCGGCTACATTTGGGTAATTAGTCGGACCGTGTGTGTGTGTGTGGGTACAAGCTGTCTCGTAAATTGGGTACGACTTGACATGTTCTAATGGGTACGATTTGCTTGGGTACAAGTTGTCATCACCCATAATTTTTTAGATCTCATGGTGTTCTCCCAACCTCAGTAAAGTGTCCTAAGTGTAAGAACGAACGTAAATATCTTCAAGACCAACCTGAACTAATCTCAGAATCCAACGGCGAACCAGAACCAGGCCAATAAGGTAAGACATAAGTGATTCCGTCATATGGTGGGTTGGGTTGGATTAGGTTAGGTTAGGTCAGGTTAGGTTTGGATTACATGCCAGTTTTTCTGGGGTTTTTTTTTTGTATTCGCTTGGCCATATTTTTTGTCGGAAAACGGCCCACCCAAAACCCCCGATAACTAAAAAAAAAACAAGCAATTTCCGACAGAATTCAAGGTCAAACCCAATCAAAACACAAAAATACACTATAAAAACAGTTTTGACTTTCTAACAGAGTTGTGTGCACTAATGCAAATTTACCTTATAGTGTGTTTTACCCAAATCTGATCCTTTTACCATACAGTCTGATGGAAATTCTGGTGTCCAACAATAATGCAGGGTCAAATACTAGGTGTTCCTGTACTACCAAAACACAGCTTGGAACACTAGAAATTGTTTGTTTTACGGTCAAAAACGTTTCCTTTACATATCACAACTATCAAATTATTTCTGTCAACCTCATAAGTACTCGATATAATATTACCTTCCCCAAATGTTCCTCTTCTAGTTCTCATTTTGACGTAGCTCCCAAAATGCCTTCACATGTCTACAACTCCACCATTCAAACGTTGTCTTCCTTCTGGGTGTCTGACGCGTTCTTGTGCGCATGCGCTTATTGACATTATCGTTGCCAATAAATCTGAATTATTTAATATTTAGCTATTCTATTCACTTATTCAACTATCTTGTTACTACACTTTTCAAAAATTAGAAACCATTAGTAATTTATATTTTTTCTACCATTTTGAATCAGTAGCTTTCACTATTACACGAAGGAGTTTTACACCATTTGGCACCGCCTAATCTGCCGTGGCGCACAATGTACATCAGTCTAGTGTTACTAAACTACCACGAATAGAAGCGAACTGCTGAGCAAAAAGCTTTTTACGTCTCAGATAAATATGAATTCTACAAGAAGCTATTAGCTAAAATACAATGTATTCGCATCAAAATCAAATTTGCGATATGCTTGAAAACTTCCTTAGTCGTAAAACTAGATGTTCGTATCGCGCGGTTAACTTTTACTTTTTTTTACTTTTACCTTCTTCGCCACTTATAAGAACATAAGAAAATAAGGAGTCTGCAATAGGCCAGTTGGCCTGTGCATGGCAGCTCCTGCCAAGAGTTATTACCACTCTCTATCATCCATGAATCTATCTAGCCTCCTTTTGAAACTTTCCAGAGTTCCAGCACTTACTACAAAGTTGCTAAGCTTGTTCCACTCGTCCACCACCCTATTTGTGAACCAGTTTCTTCCTATCTCCCTCCTAAACCTAAACTTATCCAACTTGAATCCGTTGCTCCGAGTCCTATCCTGCTCGGATATTATAAGAACTTTATCTATATCCCCTTTATTGATTCCTTTCACCCACTTAAATACTTCTATCATATCTCCCCGCACTCTTCGTCTTTCTAGGGAATGCAAGTTAAGTTTCTTTAACCTATCCTGATATTGAAGGTTTCTAAGTCCCGGAATCATTTTTGTCATTCTTCGCTGCACCGACTCTAGTGAATTTATATCCATTCTATAATACGGGCACCAGAACTGAACCGCATAATCGAGGTGCGGCCTAACTAGCGCAAGATATAGTTGCAATAAGACCTCTGCACTCTTGTTACTTACACTTCTAGATATAAAACCCAATACTCTGTTTGCCTTATTTCGAACATTAACGCACTGTTTTCTAGGCCGTAGGTCCGGGCTTACAAGTACCCCTAGGTCTCTTTCACAAGTCGACTTCTCTAGGTTGATGTTGTTAAGGCTGTATACATTATAAGTCTTTGTTCTTCCAATATTAAGTACGCTGCACTTGCTGGTGTTGAATTTCATTTGCCATTTTTCAGACCACCCCTGCAGTTTATTTAGATCCTCCTGTAATGCATTTGCATCCTGCCCTGAATTAATTTGCCGCCCAATTTTGGTGTCATCCGCAAACTTGCTTATGTCACTGCTGATCCCAGTATCTAAATCGTTTATGTAGATTATGAACAAGAGTGGGCCTAGTACTGACCCCTGGGGAACCCCACTGGTTACACGGCCCCACTCAGATTTAACACCATCTACGCTGACCCTCTGCGTTCTATCGGTGAGCCATGATTTTATCCAATTTAAAACTTTCCCCTCGATACCATGAGCCTTAATTTTTCTCAGAAGCCTCTGATGCGGTACTCTGTCAAATGCTTTGCTAAAGTCTAAGTAAATAACATCGTAATTTTCGTCATTATCTACTACCTCGAAGACTTTCCTAAAAAACGTTAGCCGCTTGGGCGATCGGTTACGTCTCTGTTGGTAGTTTAAACTGACTACTTTATCCTCTTCGCCACAAATCGGTTCGAGGGATATATTCCTTGGAAACATTAATTCCTATGAAATATTTGTCTTAGTGTTCGTGTAAAGAGCGTATAATGACAACGCCATAGAGGTAGCTTGTTGATGTAGATTCGTAGTCAGATTGAAAACACAAAAACAATGAAAAGTAGGAAAGTTACAATTCTTCCATTTTTCATTTTATGATGGGACTCTGCAAGGGCAAGACATCGATCAAGTACGCACCTACAGGTAACCGGTATATGATTTGTAATGTGTGTGAAATCTTAATAATCAAATACCTGTATATACCATTTTAACTAATCCTACTGACGACAATACAAACTTTGAAATTTTATTTGAAAACTAGATTTCTTTTCTGCCAAGTTTTACCTTACATAATAGAAAAATATTGGTGACCTTATATTTGTTTGTGTAATAAAATGATGTCAGTTAAGTTTATCCTCTTAAAGGTGAAATATATTCCTAGTATATTTGAGGTATTGTATTGTAATGTAAATCTGTAAATCAATTCTAAATCACATAAATGTTCATACTACAGTACTGTATTACAGGTTAGTAAAGGAGCGGAAGTGAATATTTGGAAAAAAAACGGTGTCACTCTATATATATATATATATATATATATATATATATATATATATATATATATATATATCTTGATAAAATCACACGGGAAAATGGAAACAACGGAGCACCTTAGCTTTCGTCTTTATTCAAGACATCTTCAGAGGCAACTGGATTACATGGACAGAGAGAGGCTTAAATATACAGGGTGACCTTAAAAACATGAGGTCAGGTCATAATGATGTCATCCACTAATCCCCACAGCCCACACCAACACACACGTAGAGCTTAAGAGAAGGGGGGTGACGTGACTAGTCAGGTCAGGTCAAAAATAAGGGACCCACAAAATAACTATCATACATCTAGATCAAAGGTTTTCAAAGCATTTTTAACCTTGGGCCACTGACAAATAAATTTATGTAAATTTATGTCGCCCTGCAGTAATTGCATGTCGACTTCCTGGTGCCGCTTCATCCCCTGATTCCATACCCTTCATGGTTGTTGCTGTTGGGGAGGAAGGAGGTGCAGACGCTGTACAAATCTACTCAGCCTTACTTTTACTTTTATCCTCTTCGCCACTGATCGGCTTGTTAGCCGCTTGGGCGATCGGTCACGTCTCTTTTCATTTATATTCTTCACCAAAAGATCGGCTCGCTAGCCGCCCGGGCGATCGGTCACGTCTCTGTCACGCACTGTTGGCAAATACTGGGCATGCACCGGCTCCTGAATGTACCTGAACCCGCTCCAGTGTTGGTCAAGTCTTCTCTTGAAAGAGCTCACACTCGGTGCCGTCACAACACTCTCTGGTAGATTGTTCCAAGAGTTTGCAACCCTCACTCCGAAAAAGTTTGCCCTCACGGTTTTCTGGACTTGCGGCTTCTTCAATCTTGAGCTGTGACCCCTTGTGGGGCGAGCGTCCGCCAGCTCCAAGTAAGGACACTCAACTGAGTAGTGCCCCCTGAGATGCTTATAAACCTCAACTAGGTCCCCCCTTGCCCGTCTGTAGTATAAGCTAGGCAAGTTCAGGCGCTCCAATCTCTCAGGGTAGCTGAGGTGCCGAAGTGCAGGCACCAGTTTGGTGGCCCTCCTTTGAACATTTTCAACCAACTGACAGTCCCTATCATATCTCGGGGACCAGATGGGGTGACAGTACTCCAGATGGGGAAGCACTTCACTCCTGAAGATCGTCACGAGGGACGGACCGTCTAGATATCTGAACGACCTTCTTATAAGACCCAATAATTTATTTGCCTGATTTACCTTCTTCTCACAATGGCCCGAGAACTTCAGCTCATTGTCAACATACACACCTAGGTCCTTCTCACACACAGTCTCAACTAGTACATTTTCTTCATCCCGTTGGGACATATGGTACGCCTCCTTACCGTTGGTACGCCCCAGGTGCATCCTCTTACACTTCGTGACATTGAATCTCAGCAGCCATTCCTTCGACCATTCCTGGAGCCCACAGAGGTCCTTCTGCAGCTCTTCACAGTCCGCTTGGTTCTTAATTTCCCGAAATAACTTGCCATCATCGGCAAACATTTGTATGGAGGAGTGTACAACGTCAGGCATATCATTTATGAAACAAACAAACAACAGCGGGCCCAATACACTACCCTGCGGTACCCCACTTGTTACAGGTACAGATGACGATTTCGTGCCATTAATCACCAGTTTACCATGTCATGTGATGAACTTCTATCGTCGGCTTACTAATAACAATAATATTGATATTTATTATTACTATGATAATTGCTTCTAATCTGTGTCCTGGTAGCAGGGCTTTAGCGTTAAGTTTCCTTTAAAAGCCCCGCAGGCTCGCTGCCTGGGTATAGGCAGTTATTAGTGCCACCCACCGGACTAATACAATTTATTTCTGACCAAGAAACTTACCCCTCAGTGGGATGATTTTCTTTATAATCACATTTACTAATTGAAGTCTTAGAGAAATGAGATGTGGGAATGATCATGCCCTTGTGGTTATCCAATGTTATTTAAAAAGAAAAAGAAAATAATGACTTAGTTGCCTCCTGCTGGTCATTAACCTCTTCGGCACTCCCATACGTCGGTGTTGCCTCCCAAAACAGTGAGTTGTCTTCTGTTATTTTCAGATTCTCCTCGACGAGTTGTTGGTGTCTACAGTATGTGCTAGCCCTATGTACAGTACACTGTACCTTGCTATGAAAGGCGGATCATATGCCCACTCAGTCCTGTAGAAACACAGAAGAAAAAAATAACTTTCTTTGGGGGCGGCAATAACATGCCCTTCTAGACAGCCAGGCTTCTTTTTTTTGTTTTTTTTAACTATTATTTACTTATATTCTCCTTTTCAGTTCTCTACGAATATATATATGTGCTATCACTGCGTATACTGTATCTCCCTATGAATGGTGGATTGTATGCACAATTTCAGTCCTTGAGAAAGCATACACACAAAAGAAAAAAAATCTTTGTGGCACCAATAATGCGACTTGGTTACTGCTGGTAGTGGTGCCTTAATTGCTTGCCTCAATTTGTTCTTCACTATGTCTGTACAGTAGTTTGTGCCCATTTTCTTTACACATATTCCTGTCATATTAACCAGCTTCTTGAAGTTTTCCGGTTATCATTCTGAATAAACGGTAGAATTTGTCTGGGTGATATAGCAGGTTTGGAAACAAATGACCAAAGGCATCAAAATCTGGTCTTTTAGTGTACTGTAGAGTTCATGCACCCATACTCGGTTCTTCTTCCTCCTACGCCGCTGAATCCACAACAGAGAATGTAAGGCTGCGAGCGAATGTTTGTCCAGACTCCTTACCGCTTGACATCTGACAAGAAACTGACGTCACAACGTGACTCATTTTGACCCTTTCTGTGTGAACGGAAACGAGTCAATTGACTGATAACTCGACTCGACTCGTTTGGTGTGAACGCAGCCTACGGCCGTTGAATCATCAGGTGAAATAAGCTAGGGTGCCTAATCTTCACGCAATCCCTAATTTCATCATAACTTTTTGTTTAGTAATAAGAAGTGTATTGTTGTAAGGCTGAATCTCATTGTAATTTGGATGCCATACGTTAAGGTCATTGTTGTGTTTTAGTATAAGTCAACCAGTTATGTACAGTACACCCCCACACTCTTGACTAACGAGGAATATTCCTCGTTAGAATCTATTAAAAAAGTGGAACCCGTCGTTAGTGTATTGTTAACGAGAGATTTAGCTCAAGTGTTGGTCAGGTTTCAACATGTTGAGAGTTCATTTCTGTTGGCGCCAACCTTAACAAATCCAGATATGACAGCAGAAACAGAGCTGCCAGATCTGCTTAGTCTTATACACAGTGCCAGAGGAAACCGACTTGGCACCATCGCACCCTCAAATCTTGCGTCCGTCCGGTAGTAACAATTACTCAGTGGCGCTGCAGAAACGAGCGGGTAGGCCGGGAGTTCTCATCTTATTTCGTGGGTTCGTGTTTCCTTTACTTCAGTACTGAGGATATGAAGTTAGTATACTACTCATACTGCATAATGAGGGTAAGGAGAATCAGTGGTCGATGGGTGCTGAGCTACTGCATCACACCCACGCTACAGATGGTTAATTTTATGCTCCAGATAGTTGTCGTGTAAAGTGGCATTATTTATTTATTTTTTAATAATCCACTGTTTAGATATTTGCCCGAATAAAAAAGGACGTTGGCTGGGAAATATTGGAAAATAAAAATCAGGTAAGTCATAGAATGCTGTAGTACTGCAATGTCTAAGATAGTAAATAGTAAATTGTTTGTCAGCTGATGGACAGACAGGTGATCACTGCCGTGTTGTTACCCTGATAGTTAAGCTCAGGTGTGGTGCGAATATTAACCAACGTACAAATTATACGTTAATAAAGAAAATGTGGTCAGTTTGTTAAGATTTTAATGATAAAACACGCAGTATAAGTTCAGTAAGGACCAACAATAGAAATATGAGGAGTGTCACAAGTTGCACCGAGAAATCAAAAGTAAGCACGTCGTCCAAGATGGCGGACATCAGTTTCTCTTCACACTACAACACAAGGTCAGTCTATTTAACGCTTCCACATTTACGCAACTTGTAATTGAGCCAAACGGTGAACTTATATAAAAAAAAGAAAATAGGGCAATGCGTATATGAAAGTGTAAAGCGTGTGGACGAGGAGGTTACTCTTAATTCGTATTTACGTCATTGGAAAATTTTTAATAAAGAAAATTTTTCTATATGTTTTTCACACACTTCCCTGCAAGTTTGGAAACTATTAGTATAAACAGAACGGCAGGGCCTCCCATTCCCCAAGTAGAAACCTCCATCTCCTTCCAGTAACACCCAACACGGTAATATATATATATATATATATATATATATATATATATATATATATATATATATATATATATATATATATATATATATATATATATATATATATATATATATATATATATATATATATATATGCAAGTAAATCACCGCGTGATCTAGGTATATGCTGATAACCACAAGGAAAGAAGAAAACACGAAGTTATCAGCATATACCTGGATCATGATTTACTTATATATATATATATATCAGAATACCGTCATGTCTGAGGGTTGGCGACCACAGTCCTCAACTCTAAACGTTCTCGGGCTGTTTTTACCAATCCTCCAAGGCTTTGTATCTCTCTGGGGACCCAGTTTGTTATTTCATTCGTCCATTCCAGTCTCTGCCTTCTCCTGGCCCTCCTACCCTTAACTTTGCCCATTACTATTGCTGTTATTATCTCCTCATCCCCAATTATATGACCAAAGTATCTCGTTTTTCTTTATCTATACATTTCAAGTACTGCATTCTCTTGAAGTTATTGCTAATCTTAGTTCTTTATTTGTTTTCTTGTCAGTGTCGCTTATTCATAGCATTTGCCTATAACACTACATTTCAAAGGCCTCTAACCTCATTCCGGTGTCTGCAGAAAGTCACTGACCCATACACCAGTCCTTGCCATATAAAGCCTTTCAGCAGCCTTTTTCTCCTATTGAAGTATGTCCCATTTCCTTAGGTCTTTTTGACCATTAAATGCTGTTTTTGCTTGCCATATTCTTGTTTTGATTTCTTCCATACAGCTGATGTCTCTTCTTAAATATTTGTACACACAATTTTCCACTCATTTAAGTTCCCCGTTGCTTGCTATAATTTTTTATTTTAGGATTTATTTTCAATTTGGAAACAACCATTACTTTGATCTTTTCGGCATTAACTCTCAGACCATATTTTTCACCCCTTTCCACTAATGTGTTAACAAGTTTTTGTAATGCCTCTTCACTATCTGTGATAAGAGCATTATCATCTGTATAGTGTTATTTAATATTTCTTTACCATTAACATTTAGTCCTTCATTGTCACGTATAACTTCACTCATTGCTAATTTTGTATATATAATCTACTGTAGTGGCATGGTGTGTTGTACTGTGTAGGATGATAGTGGTGTGGTGTGATGATGAGCATGTTAGTGTTGCATGGTAGAGGGATAATAAACATTACAGAAGACACTTGGCCAAACACAACTTTGGGGAGCACAAGAAAACTTCATTCAGTACTCACCAACATGGGTGCATGGAAGTACAGTACTCCATATAGCTAAGGCCCATTTCCCACTGTAAAATTGAGTTGGTGATAAAAAGGGTATTCAGCCATAAAACTTAGTTTCAAATTTACCTGGTGGTAACTAGGACACTATGCTATCAGCTGATCTCGATTAACCCATGCAAGCGTAGAGAACGGTCATGAAACGATGATGTTGAGGATGATAATGGACGAGTGGTCGGTTGGAATATTTTCGTAAGATGGCAGGTCCATGGGTAAAGAAAACGCTTAAATTCACTCTGGTAATGATATTTTAAAATCTTGACTAAGTTGGGTTTCTTTAATCACTAACGTTTCGGAAAAATAATTTTCCATCATCAGAGCCTAGAAAACAAAAAGTTTTTAACAAGTTTTAAAATTACAGGTGATATACAATAAATACGTAACATTATACGAAAATTTACCTTCCACAAAATTTAAAGAAACAGCACTCCAATTTAAAACTGACAAAAATGACGAGAGACCTACGTACAAAGCTAAAATCAGGGATAAAAATGTGAAATAAAAATATACAGGGTGTATTACCTTAATTTAGACGAGCCTTAGTGCGAATTAGTGGATGTCATGTTGATGACCTGACCTCATGTTTAGTAAGGTCACCCTGTGTACTTAAGCCTCTCTCTGCCCATGTAATTCAGTTGCCTCTGAAGATGTCTTGAATAAAGACGAAAGCTAAGGTGCTCCATTTTTTCCATTCTTTTTTCTTTAAGATTTTAAGCATTTCTAGTTAAAATATAGTGAATCATAATGATTATTATTTCCATAATATATTTGTTTAATTATCAAACTACAACATTAGAGTGGTATTTATATATAAGAAGATTTTAAAGCAATAAGAAAAGGCAGGAGTTAAGAGGTTATACTTCACCATACAGGTCCTCAACAGTTCCGATAATATAATAAAGTATTTCATTGATTTTACTCGTACAAATCTCTATAAATGAAAATTTCATCATCAAAAATGTCAAGGCTGATGAACAGTGAACATTTGTCATAATTTTATTAATTTATAAACAAATATTATAATAAGTTGTTTTCCACAGGCATTGTCATGGTGGCAGACGTTGAGAACCAGAAGACACAATTTGTGACAGCAATGGAGCTACAGTCACTTGGTAATGACCAAGCAGCCCGTCAGACAACCTCAATTCAGGTTTTATTAGATGCCAATCCACCTAAAGATGTTCTTGATGCCCCAGATCATGATGGAAGAACACCACTCTTGGTGGCAGTCTCTGAAGCACAGGCGGAAGTTGTTGAAAAGCTCCTCAATGCTGGAGCTCATATTAACGCTCGTAATAATAATGGTCAGACTGCGCTACACATTTTGGCTTCTGCCATATCTGAAGGGGTTAGAAATTTTAAAGATGAAGAAATCTTAGATAAAATAACAGACTTACTTTTAGATAAAAAATACAAAATCGATTTGGAACCTCATGACCCTCTCGAAGACCTCACACCATTAGGAATAGCTGCATCAAGGTTACCTCAAGGAGACGGGGCTCCTAGAAGAGGTGGTCTTATCAAATTTTGTAAAAAAATGGTAAATGCTGGTGCTTCTCTTCAGGAAACTGGAGGGGATGGCACTATTGAGGAAATTCTACAAAGCAAAAGAGCCCTTCCTTCTATCCTGGTGGGTGGTGATCCCTGCCCTGCCCCAAAAAGACCTGCAGCATCAGAATTCCTTGATATGGTATTAAAGAGAAGTGATATACAGAATATACGGGCATTCTTGCAGAAGGAATCTGCTGAAGATGCTCGTGCTATAGTCAGTGGTCGACTTGGTAAACAAACTCTACTTTTCTATGCTGTTGACAGAAGCAATAATTCACTAGTTAAAACATTAGTTGATTTTGGTGCAAATGCTTGGGCACCTGAAATAACACATGAACTGCCCATTCATCGTGCTGCTGACCTAGGGCACTTACCTATATTCAATCGTATCATTGATCATATGAAAGGGGATAACGATTCAGTAGATCTCAGAGAATATAGTGTTAGTATTGTCCAAAAACTGATGGAGAACGGTAAAAAACATAAAGTAACTTCTGACATTAGTCACATAGATTGTTTACGAAGATTAATGCAAGACGATGTTCTCTTAAGTGTCAACCAGGAATGGATGGGTAAGACTGTACTGCATGTGGCTGCATCTTTCAAAAATCAGGAGGCCATGAGTAAGTTTTTGTGTAAGGGGTCATTCCTTGGTGCTCGCCAAATAATAGCAGGTAAGAGTAAGACCCAAGGTAATATCCTGGATTCACTTCTTCCAGCAACCCTGGAACAAGCTATGGATGGCTGTATTACACACCAGCCAGCAGAAGGTGAACGAGAAAATGTCCTAGATGAGGATTACATATTGAAACTGAACTTTCATTTTCTCTTACCTCCAGTCAATGATGATATAAAGAAAGAGGTAAAAAGTACTAATGAAGTAGAAGCACTGATGGACATTAAAAGGAGTAAAAGGCACCGACAAACCATAAAACATCCACTCGTACAGTGTCTGTTGTATGCAAAGTGGCGGAAGGCTCTACCTCTTTACCTTCTCAATCTAGGACTTTACTTCTTCTTTGTCATTATGCTTACAGAATATGTTTATTGTTTGAAAGATTTGCGTGTACTTGAAGCTCAGGCAAAAACGGCTGGCAATTCTGGATCTTCCAATACTACTCTGGATCTGGAAGAACAGATATTAAGTCAACAAACAACAGTGCATTGGTTCATGGGATTCCTTATCCCAATCACTATATACATGATTATAAGGGAGGTGTTCCAAGTTTTCTACACCAGGGAAGTCTACCTTAAGAATATTGAGAACTACTTAGAAATATTTTTAGTTGTGGTTGTGGTCGTTCTGTGGTGCACAACACTTGGCGCCGACGTCACCCGCCACCTTGCTGCTTGGGCTATAATTGTTGCCTGGTAAGTTGATTTCATCTATGAGCTCATTGTTAGTTGTTTTGTAAAATGTTTATAATTGGGCAATGTAGGAGTCATATATGTTAAATTAACATTCTGCAGTGTATTAAGCCATAGATATACTCTACTGTATTTCACACTACGACTAATTATATCCATTCTTACACTGATGATTCTACTCTTCGCTCTTCACATTTTCCCTTCCCCCTAATTCTCAAACTAGATCTGTTTCTAGAGCTGATATCATTTCATCTATCAATGCGGATCTGTGCAGAATCTCCGAATGGGGAGATAAAAAAAATGGTTAAATTCAGTCGTAATAAAACTCAGTATTTACCAATTACACTTTCCAAATTAAATGATCTCCCACCAATCACATTTCAGGACGCAATCGTTCTTCCAAGTTCTAAAATAGATCTGCTAAGCCTCACCATTTCCTCTAATATGTCATGGAAACCACACATGCACAACATTGCTAAGGCTGCCCCCCGAAAGCTGGGAATGCTGTACAAATGCCATAGCTACCTCACTCCTGAGCACTTGCTTCAAGTATATAAGGGATTCATTCGTCCTAACTTGGAGTACTGCTCTCATATCTGGGGTGGCTCTTCTTCTGTCCAACTGTTAGATAGGGTGGAATCAAAGGCATTTCGTCTTATTAACTCTCCTTTAGTTGAAAATCTTTCTTCCCTTTCCCTTCGTCGCAATGTTGCTTCACTGTCTCTCTTTTACAGGTACTTTAACGGGCAATGTTCGGTGGATATATATATATATATATATATATATATATATATATATATATATATATATATATATATATATATATATATATATATATATATATATATATATATATATATATATATATATATATATATATATATATATATATATATATATATATATGTACAAATACATTTACTGTACTCTAATTGCATAAATTACAGGTACGAGTTTGTGCTTATTCTTGGCCGATATTACCCCCTTGCCATCTACATTACAATGGTTCGACATACCTCCTGGAACTTCTTGAAGTTCATCTTCTTGTATGGTGCCCTCATCCTAGCTTTCACTATAAGCTTCAACATCATCCTACAGCCTACTACTGATGGTCAGGTAAATTCAAGTCATTACCTTTAACAGTTTTAAATAGTCATTTACTTATCATGTTTATTATTCTGATAATTTTGTTGCGTTACTTTAAGTATAATAAGAATTTGTTATCTATTCTACACTCCACTGCATATACAGTACTTATCCACCTGTACCGTGTGTACTTCTATTCCTCCCAAATTGATTAGCAGGATATTGAACAAGAAGTATCTTAACATAGAGTAGGCTTTTTTTTTATGCATCCATTGCTTTGTTTTCCCACCTACAACTCCATCTAGTGCCCGAATTTGCGTTACCTTGTCGTGGCGGGGGGGGGGGGAGGTCGATCGAACCACTTTCAAATACCTGGGATGGGTATAAAGCAAGGAAAGTATATAGAAGAAAGCGCGTCACTCTTACAATGCTTTGAGGCCTCCGATTGGTCCGCTGTCTAATACTTTTATCCTCACTGATCGGCTCGTTAGCTGCTTGGGCGATGTTGGCAACTACTGGGCATGCACTGGCTCCTGAATATATCTGAACCTGCACCCGTGTTTGTCCCAGTCTGGTCTTGGAAGAGCTCACACTCGGTACCGTCATAACACGTTCTGGTAGATTGTTCCAAGAGTTCATAACTCTCACTCCGAAAAAGTTAGCCATCACAGTTTTCTGGACTAGCGGCTTCTTCAACCTTGAGCTGTGACCCCATGTGGAGCGAGCGTTCTGCCAGCTCCGGGTAAGGACACTCGACTGAGCAGTGCCCTTTGAGATGTTTATACATCTCAATTAGGTCTTCCCTTGCCCGTCTGTAGTATAAACTAGGCAATTGCAGGCACTCTAATCTCTCAGGGTAGCTGAGGTGCCGAAGTGCTGGCACCAGCCTGGTGGCCCTCCTTTGGACATTTTCTATCAACTGACAGTCCCTAGCATATCTCGGGGACCAGACGGGGTGACAGTATTCCGGGCGGGGAAGCACCTCGCTCTTGAAGACCGTTATGAGGGACGATCTTCTTATAAGATCAAATAATTTAGTTGCCTGATTCACCGTCTTCTCACAATGGCCCGAGAACTTCACTTCATTGTAAACATGCAGGCCGAGGTCTTTTTCACATTGTCTCAATTAATGTTCCGTTGGGACATCGTCTCACACTTCGTGACATTTAGTCTTAGCAGCCATTTCTTCGAACATGCTTGATGCTCACAGAGATCCTTCTGCAGCTCTTCAGTCTGCTTGGTTATTAATTTCCCTAAATAACTTGGCATCATCCGCAAACATTTGTATGGAGAAATGTACAGCTTCTGACATGTCATTTATGAAGCAAACAAACAACAGCGGGCCCAATACACTGTCCTGTACCCCACTTGTCATGGCTACACATGGCCAAGCGTCCCTAAGAAGGAAAAATTATATTTATCTTTGGAGAGTATACTATGATAGAACATGAATATTTAGTAAAATTGCGATATATATATATATATATATATATATATATATATATATATATATATATATATATATATATATATATATATATATATATATATATATATATATATATATATATATATATATATATATATATATATATATATATATATAAATACTGTAGGTGATCTAGGTATATGCTGATAACCACAAGGAAAGAAGAAAACACGAAGTTCCCAACACATCTTCAGGGGTGAGTACAGTCTGTACTCACCCCTGAAGATGTGAATAGATTCAACAACTACAGCAGCTGGAGGAAGAGATCGATAAAAAAATTTAGGAACGGGATGAGACTTTACAAGCGATGTGTAGCAGACGGAATGATGCGCTTCATGAGGGTCAAGTTGAAGTGGGTGAAAAATTGAAACACCACAAACAAAAAGTGAGTGGTGAGATCACAGAGGTACGAGGGGCGCTAACAGAGGTGAACAGTGAGCTACAGAAAGTCAGTATCAGGATGGAAGCTCTGGAGAATTGTCTAACAGCAGGGTATCAGCAAAGATCTAGTGACCACTATAATTGTGACGGTGTACGTGAAACATCATTTGTGGACGCTCCGAGTGGAATGCAGTGTTGAAAATTCTGGAAAATACGATGAGCGTGTGGAAAAGGGAAGTGCTGAACTGAATTACCCCTATCTATGTCAAGTGAAATGGGGAACTATCAAAAAGTGCCAGTGAAGAACACAAGGTCTCATGGGAAGCATACCAAGCACAGTTTAAGTTACTAGTTGAACAAAACGGGTGGGACGACAAGCAGTGTGCAGTGTAATTAGCCACGAGTCCTAAGGGCACGGCTATGGAGGTTCTCAGCCAGTTGACAGGAGAAGAGCGTAGGAATTACATGTCACTGGTAAAGGTATTGGAACGAAGGTAAGGAAGCAAGCACCAAAATGAGGTTTACAGAGCCAGATTCCGTATTCGTACCTGTAATCGAGGTGAAACACTGCAACAGCTGGCTCAAGACCTGTAAAGTATGGCTAATAGAGCGTACCCTGGAGCATCACCTAATCTGCTCGCCGTGTTGTTGAGGGACTAGTTTGCGGACGCATTGAACAGCACGCAGCTCAAGATTCGGGTGAAGCATTCCAAACCTGTAACTCTACAGGAAGCTTTGGCAAGAGCCCTGGAGTTTGAATCTTATGTGAGGTCAAGTTTACCAAGCATCAGGGCGGAAGGGCCAAGTACAAGAGACAGAGATTTAAAGAAACCTGTTGGTATTGCGAAAAGATTGTGCATAAACAGGAGGACTGTTACAAGCGGAAACGAGAGCGAGAGCGAGAGCTGGGCAATACAGAGAAGAACGTGGAGAAGAGAGGATGTTGGACGTGTGGAGAAGATGGACCCGTCAAGACTAAGAGTGCACCCAGTTTAGATCAATAAGCTAAAAAGTCATGCCTGCAAAGTTTTATTAAGCATCATTTTAAGTAGAATTAAATTTAGAATAGACAGAGTTATCTGAAAATCATTTTTTTTTGGGGGGGGGATTCTGGCAACTTTGTCTTTCGGCTGTTTCAACCAATAGCTGAAGATCAAAATGGATATAGAAGGGGAAATGGAAATAGGGAAACCAGGGGTGGATCCAGGGGGGGTCTTAGGGGTTCGGACCCCTCTTTTTCATCAGAAAATTGCAATTTTTTCTTTACTGCAGTATTGTATTCAGGCTTTTTGTATAGTAAAAAGTAATTACTATTGACCTCAGAATATCTCCTAATATAAAGTGCACATGGCCTCAAAATGCCCAAGATATTTGTCAGATTAAAAAAAAATAAAACAGCTGGGTGGGCACACTGTGCTCGCCATGGTCCACAATTTCTTGGAACCCCCCTCCTCAGCACCCTTTGATATTCCTGGATCCGCCCCTGGAAGCTATATTTGATTTGAAAATTTTGAGTGAGAGGGCTTTAGAGGTCCAAAGAAATTTATTTCCAACTTGGAAATAAATCCTAAAATATAAATTATGGTAGGCAACAGGGAACTTAAACAAGTGAACATTTTGTATATTTGGGGAATAACATTAACTGTGGTGGTAGATGTGCGAAAGAAATCACAGCAAGAATAGTTCAAGCAAAAACAGCATTTACTAATCTAAAAGGCCTTATGAAAAGGGAGATTAACAATTTAAGAAAAAAGCTGCCGAAAGGATACATATGGCAAGGACTATTGTATGGGTCAGAAGTGTGGACACTTTCAGGTGACACCAGAAGGAGATTAGAGGCCTTTAAAATTTGGTGTTGTATGTGTACTGTATAGTAAGAATAATCTACACTGACATGAAAACAAATGAAGAAGTACAAAGGTTAGCAAATACTTGGAGAGAAATAATTGAAATGTACAGAAAAAGAAAAATGAGATACTTTGGTCATATAATTAGGGATAAGGGGATAATAGCATAAATACTAATGGTCAGGTTGAGGGTAGGAGGGCCAGGGGAGGACAGAGATTGAGATGGATGAATGAAATTAAAAACTGTGTGCCCAGAGATACAAAATTTTGGAGAATTAGTAAAAACTATCAGAAACGTTTCGAGTGGATATATTTATTTATTTATTAATTTTATTTTATTTTATTTTTTTTACGGGGATTAGCCCACCCGGGCACAGGTCACTGACCCACATCGGGGCCTGGGAGGCGAAAATGTAATAATAATAATAATAGTAATAATTCATAGAAATAAAATTTACATTACAAAATAATAAAATAATAAAACCATAAAAACAAAATGAAAAAAAGATCAAAAGTGAGAAACAATATATGTATGTTTTGTCAATATTAAGAGAAACAATTGAGGCCCTGCAATTGTGTGTAAATGAGGCAGAAAGTTAGATCAGCAACCTGGGACTTGGTCACAATTTTCGTGATGCCATATGGCAGCAGGGTCTACCATTAGACAAAACATTATGCTTCCAATATCTTCCCAGGCGGTAGTACCTCCCTGTTTGATAGCTGCCCACTATCTACTACCAGTGGTCAAGCCTCAGATATGATGACGGTACTCTGATCACTTGGTGTTTGTTTGGTTACATTGTTTATAATTTTGTCTAAATTTTCAGAATATATGATTGTTTATATTATTATTTTTTTATATCTGTAAATGCAGTACTGTAATTGATTTTATAAACGCAACTCATATCACCTATTTTATTATCAGGATTCAGACTTCAGTAATTTCTGGTCAACACTTCCGAAGGTAATAGTAATGGCAACTGGGGAGTTTGAATACTCAGACCAGAGTGAGCAGTTCTCTCGCAAGTTCCTGTTCTCCACGTCGACCTTACTTGTCTTCCTTCTCTTCCTCTTCCTGATTTTTCTGGTCATTATGAATGTTTTGATTGGATTGGCAGTCACAGACACACAGGTGAGTTCACTACAGCATCTCTTTTATTTATATATATATATATATATATATATATATATATATATATATATATATATATATATATATATATATATATATATATATTTATATATATATTTTTTTTTTTTAATCACAGGGAAAAGGGAAACAATGGAGCGCCTTAGCTTTCGCCTTTATTCAAGACATCTTCTGAGGCAACGTCAGTTGCCTCTGAAGTTGTCTTGAATAAAGACGAAAGCTAAGGTGCTCCATTGTTTCCCTTTTCCCTGTGTGATTTTATTAAGATTTATCTTATCCACGTTTTCATTGTGGATCTACATGAAATATATATATAGGGTGTTCCGTAAATACCTTTCATAAATCAAGGGGTACATTCCTGAGACAAATAAAGATAAATGACAAAATAACCAAATTGTCAATTACCTCGGAGTTACAGCACATGACAGGCTTGGTATGAATGTAAATAGAGAATTATTTAGTCATGTGTACAGTACATACATAGTGATACTTTTCACTACAAAAATTCTCCAGGCAGACTAGTCCTAAAGCCCCGTCCACACGATCGAGCACTGCCCGACGGGCACTCGCTTAATGCCCGTTGTTCGGGCAAAATTGACCAGGGCAAACCAGCGGAGTGCCTGTGCCAGTGGTCGAGCGAAACCACCAGATAAGGCTGTCTGCCTGGTGGTTTGACCGTTTGCTGCCGGGTATGGATGGACGACCCTGCCAGACAAACGAAGTTAACCTTGGAACCCTGGCTGCCAGTTTTTCAGTCTCGCCACAAGTCACCACTGGAAAATGTCTGTTCCTCCGTCTGCCACAGACCAAGGAAACATTCATTGGTCTAGAGAAGAGACCATGGTGTTGATTGAACTCTATCGTCAGCACCCTTGTCTATGGAATGTCAAAGTGGACATGTACAGGGATAGGGACAAACGTGCAGCGGCACTGAGACAGATTACAGAGAACATGAATAGAAGCGGGACTACAGTTACCACAAGTGATGTGAAGAGAAAAATTCAATCACTTCGAAATCAGCATAGACGGGAACTAAGAAAGATGCAAAAATAAAAAAACGTCTGGAGCTGGAACGGAGGACATTTATATTCCCACAAGTATGGTGCTTTGATGCACTGCATTTCCTCATTGATGGTGACAATTCGACAATGTGTCAAACATGGATACTCACACTACAGAAGACGTCTGAGGTACATTCTGATCACGAGGTACGTATGCAAGCGTTCTCTCTCTCTCTCTCTGTATTGTACGTAATATATATGTATATATTTTTGTGTGTCACTATTAACAAAGGGCTTGTGTATATTTTTTTTTTTCATTTATAGATATTCAACGATCCGCTACTGCTGGGACTTGATGATAATCCACCAGCCACTGTCACGGCCACGCCCACCGTCTCTCGTATGGCTACGCCGACTGTCTCTCGTTCGGCTGCAGATTCGAATACTCGTGAACCCTCACCCACACCGTCAAGTGAACGACCGACCAAAAGGGTTTCTGGCGATGCTTATATCCTGAGAGGCCCTCCACCACCTGCAGTCATTATCTTCCTCCGAAAATATTATAAATGATGCAGACAGTGATTTTGGTCAGGTTGTTGCTAACGATCTTCGACAGATGAGCGGTGAAAATAAAATACATGCTCAAACTTATTTATGAGATCCCTTATCTGGGGAAACTAGGTAGGCTTTCCTCCTCAACGACTATTATGTAAGGGTCATATGAGGGTGTTGGATACGCGTACTTATTATAACTATCTATGCCTCATTAGTGGCAAACGGTGATAACTGTTGTTAAAACATACTCTAGTATTTTATTTATATTGACGAATATGCATGTTGGTTTGGTTTACATGTCTTTATTGTTTGGAGTGGGTCTTCAGATATTTAATTTAAGACTACATACGCTAGGGAGTATGTAATTATGTTAAATACAGTGTATAAAAGTTGTGTATAGCGTTTTGGAAGCAACCTTGTGTCCTAAACAGGTCCATCATGTATCGTGTGTATGGAGGGTTATCCCCTTTTACAAAAACTATTTTAATTAATAATCGATAAAAACCGGAAACCCTACTATATCACATAATAAGACATGTTACACCTTGGGAACCTCTCGTGACCGTCAAAATTGAAAAACTATCTATACTACAAATCTCACCTTCATACTGTATATGGCTTGACAAGTTGCAGGTATTATGGTAGACAAACTTTGTTTTGATATCCTCGTTGTATACTGAAGCGACGTGTAGGAGCACCCAGTTGAAAGAAATATGAGCGGAGCCTCTAGACGAGCCTCTGGAGATATGCTGCCTCATAATGGGATCTTGTTTTTTTTTTATGTATGGTTCCAATTTTAGCGAGAAGTCTATAGAAAGTGTTGGGGTCCATTCCCATGTAGTTAGTGAAGTCTTTCTCATGTTCATCTTGCAGCTCACGTAAAATCGTACCAGGACGTCCCTTAACTTTTCGTTGAGATAACCACTCCCTTTTCTGTTTTTTCTTCTTTTTGCACACTGTAGCAATTATTATACACAGCGCTATAGTCTTCGATTTAACTGTCCTGCGACACACCATGGTGATCGTACCGCAGCAGCTACTGCCGACCACCTACTAGGTACCAGCGTCAAAGTGTGACTGCTGCCAACCAGCACCTCCGTGCGTACGACGACACACAGGCCGGGCACTGTTGATCGTGTGGACGGGGCTTAAAATTCCCGTGATGTTGCCTCCAGCACCATTATAAATAGAAAGGGCTCAAGACGACCCCAGATGGAGGCCTACTTTTACCTCAAATTCCTCACCAATTACGCCCAGAGGGTTTTGATCCCCCATATAATGCCAAAACTAAACGTGTCGAAAGTGATCATGAGAATATGTAATAATTATTTTTGATTGCATCTGAATATTTGTTTTTACCCCTTTGAGATCTTTATTTATTAATACTGTATATGGACACAATTGCAGATAGATAAGAACAGAAATTGAGAAAAACTAAATGTAGGCTGTTATGATGAACTGATTGGAAAACTACTATTAATATAATATATTAACTTTTCAATAATTATCTTTAACACTTAAAATAACCATAGTATAGGCTAATATTTATAAATATAGTAAGCAGTAACAATGATGATGATAATATGCGAGACTAATTTTATTGGTATTTTTCAGCAAGTGGTAGATGATGCCAAACTCTACTCCCTTACTTCCCGCCTGGAACTCGTCTACCTCACTGAATCTTTGTTCCTTAGTTGTCCAGGCTTGAGGTCTTATGTTGACAAAATTCACTCAAAGTTAGGATCCAAGTACTGGCCCATTCTGTCAGGATCCAAGAAAGGATCCATTCTTCATGCATATATCAATAACCCCAAGAAAGAAGAAAGACTCAGATCTGGGGAAGAGATGCAATTTTGTTGTACACTGGATAATGATATAGCTGACTGCCTCAGGTAGGTTCAACCATGTAAATTTTACAATAGATTTCAATGATATAGTTTTGAAGCATTTTAAATTTGTGTTGATAAATATTCGCTAGCTATAATATGCAAGTTAATGATATGAACAATTGTGTGATGAGTATTTCTTTTTCTTTCATCTTTTACATATCATTTATCTTGTATTCCCAATCTTTGTGGTTTCTGTACACCCTTGATCTACCCAAGAAAGGAGTTATGATAACACATTAAGATTTAAGTTACAAAACAATTATTAAAGGAAATATCTGAAGCTTGTTAGGCCCTATGAAAATTCCTAGGCAGTGATTGAGAGCAGCCTTTTAAAAATTCCTAGATGGGGATTCATGGAAGAGTTTGTACAGTAAATGATTTTATTTTTTTACGATTATGACTTCTTTGGGCAACTCATGGTTATATCAGCCAGACTTGATGGAGTGTTAGAACTCATATATCACTGAAAGAGTGGCCAGATGCAATAAATCGGCATCATCTAGCTTTAACCAGAGCCTTGAAGAGGTTCCTCAAGAAATTGCTGTAGTAATTCAAGACAGAATGGTGAATGACTCATGATATGCCACATCATCAGTGCTCAATTTCTAATTAGAAAATACTTATGTACATCTTGTTAACACACAGAAACTATCGCCTGCAGTGTATAGAAGATCAGAAGAGTCGTGGTGATCCTTTGAACCAGTTCCTCCCTATCTTGCAAGAGTTACAAGATATTGTCAGGAATCATCCTCAACTTGTACAACAAGCTGCATCTACTGTGCACCCTGGAAATTAAGACAGTTTTAAATGCTTAAACAAGGCTATTGGTCAAATATAATTTAATGACAACATCAAGTCTACTGGTGTTGGAATGTCACATCATAAAATAAATATTTCACTTGGTTCAGGAAAAAATAAGACTGATATATTTTATCCTGAGCCTTAAAATGGTCTGCATGCTTCTGCCACCTAAATGTCTTAGTCGAGTCATGTGTGCACTCTAACAACTATTTACGATAGGCTACTTTGTGAGCACCGAACATCTATTATTAGCTAGAATTTCACTTTAGTGTAAAGAGTGGAATAACTACATGAAGAATAAATGGTTTGTGAACTAAGTATATACAGTATATAGAACAATTTACTTGGAAATATTTCATTCTACTGTAAAAAATTGAAATCCCAAGTCCATATGCCAAGGCTGAGATTAAGGTGAGGTCCAGATCATGCCAAGTAAATGGGTTATTGAAGAAAATTTTAATAGCAATATTTTTGTATCTAAAAAATAAAAGATTGTTACTTTGACTCATCCATGGATTAGTTTGTGTTTATTTTGTAGTACACAGCAGAATGACTTCATTTTATACCAGGAGCAAGTTTTTTTTTCACTACTGGATGTGTACTACAGAAATGGAGTCTTACATGGAATTAATCCTCCGATGTTTCAATACTAGAGAAGGTCGAGTCCAATACTCTCTCTGCCTTATGCCATGTACTGTACAGCTTCAAGGTCCCTCCAATAATTCAAGTGCAGTGTTGTATCTAAGTGTTCCAACCTGGCCACCATACCCTCCATACTAGTTATGATGAGGTCAAGAAGTTTGGTGTTTGTTACCCTCTGTAGTGAGTCGGATCTTTAACATGTTGGTTTCATTTCTTCAGTTGATGTCACCATACCTAAAAGTCCCACATGACTAGGAGGCAAGGGTTGAGTGTCGTTGCATTATTAATTAAGGCTCCTAAGTTCCCTTTGTTTAGTTATTTCGGGAAACCAAGAACCAAGCGGACTGTGAAGAGCTGCAGAAGGACCTCTGTGGGCTCCAAGAATGGTCGAAGAAATGGCTGCCGAGATTCAATGTCATGAAGTGTAAGAGGATGCACCTGGTACGTACCAACGGTAAGGAGGATTATCTTATGTCCCAATATGATGAAGTTGCACTATTTGGAACTGAAGGTGAGAAGGACCTTGGTGCGTATGTTGACAATGAGCTGAAGTTCTCGGGCAATTGCGAGAAGGTAAAACAGGCAAATAAATTATTAGGTCTTATAAAAAGGTCGTTCAGATATCTAGCCGGTCCGTCCCTCGTAACGATCTTCAAAAGTAAAGTGCTTCCCCCCATCTGGAGCACTGTCACCCCGTCAGCTCCCCGAGATATGGTAGAGACTGTCAGTTGGTTGAAAATGTTCAAAGGAGGGCCACCAGAATGGTGCCTTCACTTCGGCACCTCAACTACCCTGAGAGATTGGAGCGCCTGAACTTGCCAAGCTTATACTACAGAAGGGCATATAAGCATCTCAAGGGGCACTACTCAGTCGACTGTCCTTACCTGGATCTGGCGGACGCTCGCCCCACAAGGGGTCACAGCTCAAGGTTGAAGAAACCGCAGATCCAGAAAACTGTGAGGGGTAACTTTTTTGGAGAGAGAGTTGTAAACTCTTGGAACAGTCTGCCAGGGAGTGTTGTGACGGCACCTAGTGAGAGCTCTTTCAAGACCAGACTTAATCAACACCGGAGCAGGGTCAGGTACATTCAGGAGCCGGTGCATGCCCAGTACTTGCCAACAATGTGTAACAGACGTAACTGATCGCCCAAGCGGCTAACGAGCCGATCAGTGGTGAAGAGGATAAAAGTAAAAACACATGTAAAAGTAAATTAGTTTCAAATTGGAGATCTGTAGATACTGTGCATCGAACAATGAGTAAGTCTCTCTCCTTTAGTTTAATTATGCACCACCTCGATTCTTCAAAAACATCCTCCCCTGCACCCTGAAGAGGGTCCTAGTATTTGGACTGAAATATACCAGTGGGGTTTTACTTCATTTAACAGTGTGATCATTACACACTGATATCTATCTATCTATCTATCCATATATATTTATATTTGAGCCTCGCTAGCGCAGAAGTGCTGTCAGGAAGAGGAGCGGCTGTCTGCTTAGAGTAGCAGAGCTGCTCTAGGGTGTCTAACCTGCGGTGTAGAGACAGTAGCTGTAGAGCCGATGAGAGCTGCCTCTGTGTGGATAAGCCAGTCTTCCATGTTGCTTGAAGACTGGGAGTGGGGTCGGTTTCTCCTCCATCCTGTGTGAGTGCGAGTCTCCGGGGATCACCATTTGTGGGGTACGTGATATTGGTTCACACTCAGGATGGGATGGAGAAAGGAAACTCACAATGTGCTCTCTGTATACATGTTGTATTGGATGTACATTGTACAATGCAGCTTGGTGCTGGGAAGACAGCATGGTTACAAGCTTTGAGTAGAGAGAGCTGGTTGGTGAGGGTGCTCAGAGGAGGACCAGCTTGTGGGTTGCCATGGTCGTCGGCTGGAGCGGGAGCCGCCAGGCTTGGGCGGAGGAGAAGGTTTTGCTTGCTGAAGGTAGAAATAGAGAGGTCACCACGAGGTGAGGTCTCATATAGCGGGGATAGGCGTGGCTTAATAGTTGACCTCCGTCATGTAAGGCGGCGCTGGTTGCTGGCCTAGACATGAGGGCAGGCTGGTGAAATCGTGGGTCGGCTAGTCAGCGACAAAATATAATTTCCCATACACAAATAATTCACATATAACAATAAAATAGAATATCACTCACTATAGGTTGTCCGAATTTTGGTCATTAAGAAATGGTAATCGGTTATCATACAATTAGAATGTGGCACGGCAGGAACAATGACTGGTGAGGCACGAGCAATGACTGGCGAGGCACGAGCAATGACTGGTGAGGCACGAGCAATAACTGTAGCACGAGCAATCACCGACGAGGCACGAGCAATCACCGGCGAGGCACGAGCAATTACTGGTGAGGCACGAGCAATGACTGGCGAAGCACGAGCAATGACTGGTGAGGCACGAGCAATGACTGTAGCACGAGCAATGACTGGCGAGAGCACGAGGCAGGCATGACTGGTGAGGCACGAGCAATGACTGGTGAGGCACGAGCAATGACTGGCGAGGCACGAGCAATGACTGGGAGGCACGAGCAAATGACTGGTGAGGCACGAGCAATGACTGTAGCACGAGCAAATTACTGGCGAGGCACGAGCAATCACCGACGACGAGGCACGAGCAATCACCGGCGAGGCACGAGCAATTACTGGTGAGGCACGAGCAATCACCGGCGAGGCAATCACCGGCGAGGCACGCAATCACCGGCGAGGCACGAGCAATCACCGGCGAGGCATCGAGCAGGCGAGGCACGAGCAATCACCGGCGAGGCACGAGCAATCACCGGCGAGGCACGAGCAATCACCGGCGAGGCACGGCAATCACCGGCGGGCACGAGAATCACCGGCGAGGCACGAGCAATCACCGGCGAGGCACGAGCAATCACCGGCGAGGCACGAGCAATCACGGCGAGGCACGAGCAATAAGGTCACCGGCGAGGCACGATCAATCACCGGCGAGGCACGGCAATACCGGCGAGGCACGAGCAATTACCGGCGAGGCACGAGCAATCACCGGCGCAGGCATCGAGCAATCACCGGCGAGGCACGAGCAATCACCGGCGAGGCACGAGCAATCACCGGCGAGGCACGAGCAACACCTGGCGAGGAGCAATCACCGGCAGTCACCGGCAGGCGAGCAATCACCGGCGAGGCACGAGCAATGACTGGTGAGGCACGAGCAATGACCGGCGAGGCACGAGCAATGACCGGCGAGGCACGAGCAATGACTGGTGAGGCACGAGCAATGACTGGCGAGGCACGAGCAATGACCGGCGAGGCACGAGCAATGACCGGCGAGGCACGAGCAATGACTGGCGAGGCACGAGCAATGACCGGCGAGGCACGAGCAATGACCGGCGAGGCACGAGCAATGACCGGCGAGGCACGAGCAATGACTGGTGAGGCACAGTTGATGGCCCTTGGGGTTGGAACAGGCAAAACTGCAAGAAGTCAGTATAAGGTAAAGGAAAAAGTGACAAGAAAAATATCAGATAAAATATTTAGCTGTAGGTCACTGCTGCCGTTTAATTTTTAGATAGCCAAAGGAGATTGAGCAATGGTATCAATGGGAATGCATACAACTGTATAAATCAATAAATATTCTCACCTATCTGCACATTCTAGAAGGAATTATTTCTTCATTTACTGGGTGACTGCGGAAGGTCTCGTAAAAATCATCAGCCACTGCTAACTCGGTCCTCAATCTTTCGGTCTTCTATATCTGTTTTTATAGTTTGAAAGAAAGAGAAGAAATTAACGCTGTATAGCAATAGCAACAGCATTGACTTTATAATGCTTTCATCACCAATGCCTATGGGCATATATGCATCACAAAAGAAATATATAACGGTTTTGTTGGATTTTACAATTCAGCAATATTTAAAGAGCCTGTATATAGTTTAAAAAAGGTAAATCTGCCATTAAAAATTGAGTACGAAAACATGGTTATACTTTACGATGCTGTTGTGCACTTACATCAGTAGATCGAAAACAAATAGAAAAAACTTTTTGAAGTAGGCCTAAAATACTGTAGGCTACTAGGCAACAATCATATCTGCCAAAAAAATCTTATATGATGATATATATAGATATGATAAGAGGACTCGTATGCTTCTGACAAGTATTTTGAGGTGACTCTTCAGAAACTGAACATAGACCTGTTTGAAACTTATCTTGCCAGAATATTTGGCCTTGCCAAGTGTGTGGGGGCACCAGCCACAGACTTGCCCATTTTTCTTGATGCAAGTCATGGTCGTAAAATGTTGTCATATAGTTATATGTTACATAGCTTGGCTCTAGGACAATTGCCCCCATTGCCTGTGAATAGCTGTCACAAAACATGGAAATAACCTTACTAACTTAAAATAGCCTAGTAGCCTAACCTTACCTACCCTAACTTTAACTAACTTACCTAACCAAATATTTAATATGACCGATCTACATTTTTTTCCACTTAACCATAAATCATGAGTTGTCATTTTGTG